ATATATGCCGAATTCGTCCCGCTTTAGGACGATGGCCTTGCATCGCAGCATGAAGCATGAGTCGGAAATTTACCGGATCATTGGTTGCTCGGGTTAACTCATTGGTGGTTGATTAGATGGCCGTTGATCTGTTTGTCGAGCTTGGTGATCAGCGTGCAAACGTTTCGTGGCTGCTCTGGTATGTCACTTCGATCGTTGACCAAACGTGTGCAAGCTCGACGAACAGATCAACGGCTGTCTAATGAACTACCGGGGGTATTAGTTACTCGTCAATAGTCAAAAGGATGTCATGTAGATAAACCATTTGGCATTCAGCTCAGGAAAATTCGAATTCCGCACAAATGTGGGCAAATGGATCACACTGATCTATCCTTCCACAACGTGGAATGAGCCGAACTCTGCTCGTTCAAAACAAGTTGAAATGCGCAAGTGATGCTTAGTTTCTGTTTGCATGCAGTTTATTGATTTTTCGCAACCTATGGAATCATGGTGTGACTGTCTTGGCGGTCGCCCCACGGGACTGTTTGTCTCCCGTTGAGAGGATCAGAGATGTGTAGACTAAAACAGTCGCAGGATCTCGAACTTAATGCCTTCTCTGGGCGAAGCTCAAACCAAAATATATCGGCGGATCGCTCCTCTTGCCGGAATTACAAGCAAGATCGGAAATTGGTTAACCTGATTTCGAGAAAAGTGTAAATCACCTTAAGCAACTCAGTAATGTTGCAATACTAACGCTGTGTTTATTGAAGCCTACCGAATTGTAAAATCCCTACGTAACATCACACTGGTTAGAAGACAAAGTTTGTCTATCCTTGTTGGGTTATGATTTCGCTTTGGTTGAGCTTTTATTAAAGCAGCATTCGCAGGTGGGAGCGTTCGGAGTAAAGAGGCGGCATTGTATACATAGTTGGTGTTTTATTCACTCTCAAAATGCCCGCGACCTTGGTTATATCGATGTACCTTTTTTGTCGTCTTTTTTAGGATGAAATCGATCGCGCGCTAAGCGTCTTCAAAGAGAAACTAGAGAAAGTCGTAACTCAGTGAGTTTCTGCAGATCTCGTGGCTATCGTGCGGAGTTTTCCTCTCTCTCTCTCTCTCTCTCTGCGTGTGTGTGAGAGAGAGGCTTTTCACGAACCATCGTCTGTGTATTTTCCGTATTCCGCTATGACTAGGTTTTCCTTTTTCGTGTATGTATGCATGTGCCTTAGCTGGTATGCGCTGTGGATTTTATGCTAGTGTTTGTTGTTACGCACTTTCCGACGCAGAGTGCAACAGCGACGCTCAATAGGCATCAACACAATCTGCCTCGTACGTATTTGTCGAACCCGCACACTTGGACGCATGTACCTATGTAGTGTGTTGACCACTCTGTGTCTATGTTTCTGTGATCATAGGAGTGCACCTTGAGCTAAGACTAAAATTGCCGGGTCTTTCAATCGCACGAACGGCCTTTCTCTTGTGACGATTGTTTTGCTTGAACAGCCCCTGTAATTGCACTGTGCGATACAACAATGTAGGGCCATCATATATTCAGCTGCAAATTCATCGTTTAGTGAATTGGACCGAGAGCCGTTCTTTTCACTTAATAATACTATAGCCAGTACGTTAAAAAACCAGCCGAACACTGCTTCACTAACAGCACTGGCGAACCTGTTTGCATTTTCTAGCGCTGTACCCCCGGTTGTTGGCCCGTGCACAGATGTCGACCGAAACTTCAGTGGTTATTCTCGACCCCAGTCATTCTCGGTATTCCATTACCTCTAGCTCATGGGAGTCGGTACACGCGTAAATTAAGTTTAGAATTGTTGGGCATCCAGTATAAGACACATACATTGAATATACAACCAAAATTTAACTGCTGTCTTGACTTCCAGTCCTGTGGCATCATCCTAACTAATATATTCTTTATTTTCCATGAAACATTCTTTTCCTTTCGTAACATCCACCTGTCCATGACCACTGTCAGTTGATTTACGCCTCCGGCCTATTCGGAATGATCCCTCATAGTCGAAACACAGATTCTCTTCCTAACACTATTTCGATTTCTCATCACTAAAATCCGCATAGTATTCAAAACGTCCATTCTCTTCAATTTTGTTTGGACTGGGTTCTATCCGGGTATGGCTCATGAGACTGTTGCTGGGCGATTCGTGGGCGGTTGGTGACCCAAACATTTTTACATTCTGAAGCTGATTTTATCACTTTTTTTACGGGATGTTCGTCACCGGTGTGGGTATTATCATGTGATACTGTTGGTTCACTATCTGTTGTTTTTTTTATGCTTGAGCTGTACACTCACACCCGTTCACCTGCATCCGTTGCACATCCAAATCTGTCTGTTATGCGATATGCATTACCCTTATCAACATCCGCTATTTTTGCCAGATCGCCTCATCCTGCATAGCAATAATTTTCGGTTGCACCTGCCATCTCTGGTCCCAGGTTGTCAACAGTTTCATTGTGTAGAGAAATCGTCAACTACAGGTGGATGTCCTGAAGCAAGGGCAAACTTATCTTTCGTTGCTGCAACAACTTACGTACTTCTACCGTTTATGTGCACCGCTTCACTTGTTTTTCGACCAAACCCTGGTTGTAGGAGGGGGGGCTAGTTGCTAGAAATACCGAGGGTCCGGCTGAATTGTCGCCAGCGCGTCCAGTTTACATAGAAACGCCGAGAGATAGGGAGATTAAAGCATGAACAAAAGAAGCGCAGTCACTAAAAAGAGGTTTTTTTGTTGGTTCTATTGAACTCTTCATCTGTTATTTGGTATGAGGTAGCCGATACACCGTATGCAGGCCACCATTGACTTTGGCACTGAGTCTTGTCTCTAATCCCATAGTCTCGGGGTCTTTGTAAAAGAAAAATGCGGTGGATTCTGTTTTCTCAAAGTTAGTACTCAAGTTTTTCTGCTCATCCTCCACTTCATCACCTGCACACCTTTCCATTTAATTCAGTCAGTCTCAGTACATATGAACCGCGCGCGGTACGGTGGTGACATAGGTAAGATGTGCCGCAACCAGTGTAAGTTGGCCGAAAAACAAACACTCCGCGAGGACATCGTCACCGAACAACCCCAACACGAACCGACCGAATTTACAACCGGTCAGTGATATTGCCTGCGTCTAAGAGATGATGTCACGTCAACACGGAGGATTTCATAAGTTGGTGAAACTAGCTTTAGTCCACAGGAAAGTTCTCGTGTCTCACGTATGATGCAACTTCAGCATCAAATACCACCGAGTACCAATTCCTGATGTGGTCGTGGGAGGCCTCCCATGCCAGTTCTGTAAAAAGGTCTTACATTTGGATGGTAAGGAAAAGATTCTATGCCGGGGTGTCTTGACCGCTAAGCTTTTCAACACTTATCACTGTGGTATCATATGCATGCTCAGTATGTAGTGGTCGGTAGCCATGTCATTGTCAGCAGTACAACAGGCCAACTCCCGGTTCTTCCTCATCCTGTATTTTCTCACTATAGTTAAACTGGTTGTATGGTAACAAAGCGGTAGTGTCAAAATTTATGTTGTTTAATGGCAGTGATATCACAAGTAAGAGCAGTAAGATCAATTAAGGTTGTGTGTTGGTAGCGGAGGGCGCCAGGTAACGCGTCTGTGCCTCGAACACCGGATCAGCAATGAACAGACTCTCTTTCCTTTGTAATCCAAGAGAACCGTCTCCGTTGTTTGATAGGTCCGTGCTGTAGAAAAACGGCCTCCGAAAGTAACCTCACCAAGTGCTACTCGTCCTGTCTGTATATTCGTATCTTCAATCACAACCGTAGTATCTTGCCTGGATTATCGGCGTAGATCATGTGAACATCTATAGCATTTGTCTTTCGTTTCGGTGCTGCAGTCACCATACACACAAGTAGGGATGCATATGGATCTCTGCTAGCGTATCACATTCCACCTATTTTACATGGCTCACCAAGTTTAACAATGCGTAGCTGTTCATCCACTGGAATCCAGCCGATAATACAGCTTCAGTTGTGTCGTTCAAAACGACTTCACCACCTGGTTTGTCTGTCGCTCTGATTTTGAGGTATCCAGAAGAGCATAAATGAACTTAAGTCCCTGGACGGGGGAACCAGGCAAGTAACTTCCGCCATGCAAGGGTGCATCTGAGGCTCCTGCTAAACCAAGGTGTTAACTTGTGTGGAGTAACTCTCGAACATTGAAGCCGGTAAGGGTAAACGGATTACTTAAACCAAAGAAGGATAATTGGGATACTGGGAATCATAAGCAGCCCCGACTGTGAGATGCAGAACGAGAAAGTTAGATTGTACACCGGGACAGTTGTTTCAAGCAAGTGTGAAGAAGTGTGGGGTTTAGTGGACAAATTTTTTGTTGGTAATAGGAGTTGTGCTTACAGTCAGTCACACCCGAGTTGATCGTGTCAATGGAATACAATTACGAGTGAAAGCTTTCGTGGCTTGGTCCTGCGAGTGTTTTCTATTCGTCTCCGATTTGTATCCATTGCTATGATATCATATCCCGCAATCAAATGACTTAGCCTGAGCCGAGCTGCTTGGCAAGACCTATCGCCTTGCGGTTGTGATGATGGCTTACACAAAATACGCATCACTCAGACCCTGAATCCCTTGCAGTGTCTCGCATCAGGTGCCGTATGTATGCATACATCCCTTTTTCTTTATTTGAAACATACTGCACAGACTCCGTGGTACAACTTCATGGAACAGCTTCTTCATCCAGAATCGATCTTTGGTTTCCCAGTGTGTTCGGCTCTCCGCCTGTGATTTGCTTATGTTAACTATATTATACGTGTCCTGTATGTCCTTCACTAGACTCTGGCAGTCGTCAGTTAGCTAACCTCACACACCTTAAACCATAGGGTTCCATGACCCTCCTTTTTGTTATACGCCAATATATTGGTGAATTGAATGTAGTAAGCTCTACCTGTCCAGTGTGTAATGCCATAAGGGAGCAAATTCATAGCTTCCAATTTTTTATCCGTTGATTTATTTCATCTCTTATAAATGTTGCCGGTTGCAATATTTGCTCAGGGACAGGCACTCGAACCTAGTACTACCCGTGACGGTGACAGACTACGGTCAGAATTTTGGGAGGGTAGAGTTAGCGGGTGCCAGAAACTATATTTGTCGTGGTCGAACACCGTTTCGGCTTATGTTGCGCACTTTTCGCTGTGCTGTGTAGCTGACACTGCACATAAAATAACAGGATAAAATCTCTTGAAACCTGGATTCTGTTAACTGAACCGAAGTCTCATTTGAACATCCTTGTTGATTAGGATGACAGTTAGTTTGGTTTGTGCAGATCTGTGAAAACCGCTTACACGGATCCATCCTCAAGTTTGACCAAACACATAAGGATGCTGCGACAGAACTGGTTTTGTTTTCGCCCTATCTTTTTCAAGAGACCCATGATTTTTCGGTTTGATGTAACACCAACCTCTGCCCACCTGAGACCGTCTTCAAACATGAAAACCATTAGGCACAGATGAAACGTTTGCACTATGGAATGAATGGAGGTGGCACCATTCTTCATCAAGGATCCTTCGATCTCATCAGGATTTTATGGCTGTTCTCGTGGAACTTTTGTATTGCTACCTTCACGCACCGGTCGTATCACTGTTTGCAGTCACGCACGACCTGTGGTTTCCGATAAAATATTTTCAACACCGATTTATTTTGGTACACGCTCCGGAATCCCTCATCCACGAGCAGAATTCCGTCGGCTTTTCCAAAAACCGACCAAGACTTCATGTCTAACTGTCACATTACTGATCACTCGATCTCGGTACATTTCCATCGGGCGTAGGTTAGCATGGCACCTTTCAAGTAGCATTCTGTTTCACTTTTATTACTTCCAGTTTGTATCCATTCACTGTTGTCAACCGTTCGGTCTGAAACATCACCTTTCGTAAATGCTTATATTAAACATTTATTAGACGCTGTTTGAACCCGCACCCTAAGGTCAATTTGTACACCACTGCTATCGTTATCTTCCATCCTCTCACGGCTTAGTTCGATGATGGCCACTAAGTTGCCGAGCTTGCTTGAGTTTGGTTATGTTCGGAAATCTTCCTGAGTGGGGAAACATTCATTCTGGAAAACGCTGCTTGTCTCCAAGTACTGTTATCATTATTTTCGTCTTGTAGTGTGCTTTATACGAAGACTGTTCTTAGGTTTTTCAGTCGCTCCAGCAAACTCACCTGCGCTCGTCGTTGCCGTCTACATGGCCACATCAATAGTTGGAGAAATTGTCAGACAGTCGCCCCCTCAGTGGCACTGGTGCATCCAATATATTGCCTTCAATGCATAACTCCCTCCCAAACCACCCCCACACTTAAAAGTTCACTGACAGACCTGTATTTACGCACCAATTCATCAGCTCCCGCCTCCGATGTACAGCTGTCTCTCCAAATCATCGATGGACGAAATTGTGACAGCTACAGCCACTGTACGACAAGTACACCGCTCTTACAGCTGATAATGATGATGAGTTGCTCCTTCAACGTAGTACTTTGCAGAAGAGGCAGGTGGTGTAGATAAAGCACGAATTACTGATTGAACGTTTTTCTGGAATTGTCCCTTCTAAATTTCTCCTATGTGTACGTGGATAGTATGCACGCAGTATGTACGCCTCCTGCGTCCTACCTCCTTTATGACGAATGATCAGAAGGTTAGATCCGCGTTTTCTGAATATTGCTTATTAGGCTGTGCGCATACCTTACCGTGTTTCAGCGCACTGTAGCGCGTCGTTTGCGACAACCAAGGAATCCCATTCATTCAAGAATACTCATTAGCGAATTTTTTGTTTTCTTTGGGTTTATCACATTCCTCTGGTTTTGCTCAGTCTATTGTTTACACAATACTACGATAATCATGTGATACCTTGAGAGTCCTCAGTGTTTTTCTTTCGTCTCTATCTGAATAACATAATCGTAGTGAGTTTTTTGGAGGCCTGACATTAGTAAGCAGATCGCCAAGTCTAGCTTATGGGCCAGACTGTCATCCATGTAGGTTTGTGAACGAACTTCCACCCGTTGTAGAACATCGTGAGGCTAGGGTATGTTGTCACCTCACTCATCAGGAAGCCTTATGTACAACTAGGTTAGAAAAACGATGTTATAATATTGGTATAAAAGGAACGACACTAGTCGCAGGTAAAGAGATGGATTTGCGATGTTCATTGCACGAGATACATCTTAGCTGATATTTTCATTGTGTATGAAACCCATACTACAACCACGGAACTGCAAACAGTTTTTGACACCGTTTTACTGCACTGCATTTTACCGGAGAACGGGAATCCGAGGACAATTTCCAACATAACTGGGGTACACTTCATCAATGGTCGCGAAGATGAATCGCCAGTCCACGGTTTCTCAATGGTTATATATCCATTTGTTTTTGAACCACACGGCGCTTTCCTCAAGGCATCAAGGAACATTTATCGATTCGCGAAAAAAACGAGTGGACAAACACGACAAGCTCGTTCTTCAGTCGCTTGGTCTATACATGCAGTCGGATCAGTCTGGCCGAATCATTGGCGTAAACTTTCGGGTAGTCGATCGAAGGCCATTTACCAACGAATGCTTGAAACGACTGGAGCGTTCGCCACCTTCCTCTTTGCTAGCAAGAGAAAGTTCTGACATGGGCTGACCCACCTGAGTAGACACTGTCGTTTTGCTACCAGCAGTTTAGCAGTTTAGTATTTTAATCCCTTTTTTTCTATTCCATCACTGTACTTGTTCGATGTCGCGCGACCTTTCGCCAACTTTCAGTAACCAGGTTTGTTGGATTTTCAACCCTTGAAAGAGACTTTTTTTAGGCAAAAGAAAGGATGGTCGTTCAACCCTGGTCTCTCGGAGATGGCAACTTGTTAGCTTAGATATCGTTCGATTGACAGATTACATTTGAGTTGGTGAATGCTGGATGCTTTTATGCTTTTATACAGCATGCCCCCGGTGGAAAACAAAGGGGTACTTTCTATGTGGTGGTTTCTCTTCAGACGGGATGGGGATTGTTTTGTGTGGTTTCCATTGTGTTAACAGTACGTTGTGGAACACTGAGTACTTGAAACTAGAATGCTCCTGTTTGATTTTGCTATCTTTCGCCCTTGTTTTACCTATAATTTACGATGTTACTTAACCGTAGATGTCATGATAAGTAAGTCACACTATGTCTACTGTATCCTTCATTCGTTTGCTCTGAACGCACATACCCTCGCCTTCACTCTTTATGTTGCACCGCCTATCACCTCACTCATAGTTCCATCACATTGTGTCCGCACTTCTCACTTGTGTTTTGTCACCACATCGATTTGCTCGCTGAACACACTGTTTAAAACATTCGTCTTTCAGGATCAATTCAAAGTTGGATAAAGTCCCTATCCTTGGGTCTCGAAAACACAAGGAGCAGTAGTCCGGTCCCTTTACATCTCATCCTCTGTATGATGTCAACGACAGGTTCTTCCGCACACCAATGCTAACTATACTGTCTCAAAGCCCTTTTTGACCTTGTCTACATGTTCTCTGTTCGTAATATTTGCAGTCCAGCACGGGCCAATGATTTTCCTTTCATCTACAACTTTCTGTCGCGCTCCGTTGGCGAGGCGCGTCATCCCATCGACTGTTTACTTTATCTTACAGGTTCTGTAGTCTTGCTCCCCCCTTTCGATCCCACCGCGTACCCAAGTTCTGTGCTCAATATCCATCATCGATTTATTACCCTTCAGCAACCTTACTTCTCATCACTATCAATTTGTGTTATACACAAACATGCTTGCTTACCATTGTTACATGACCAACAGTACCTCAAGTTCTCATTGCTTGCATTTGGTCCCATGCATCACAGCACATTGCCGGCAACTTTGTATACTTTCTACTCGTGACCAGTTTGGTAATTAGTGATCCCTCCGCGTGTAATCCTGTGTAGTTTGTCATCCCGGTTTGCTGTATCTGCTGGTTCGTTGTGCAACCGCTGTCATTTCCCCCTGGAAAAGGTAGACACTGCATCGTTGCCTTCTCTGACTGGGTCGCCTTGTCCACTAGTGGTTCATGCCATTTGTTGTAGAACTCTCGTGTTCGTGGTGAATTTCTCATTCGACCACATTCTACCTCCGGATCTTGGGTTTCGGTGTGTACGTACGAAGTACGGTCAAATCGGAATAACTCCAAGCGCCTAAGTTCTGAGAATGCTGGGATCGTTCACATATCTTCATGCGTGATTTGCGGACTGCGACAGTGTCTATTGGATGAAGTCAGGTTTACGTGGATGAAACTGATTTCCTCCGTATAAACAGTGTGCGTGGTAAGCCCGAGGTAGCTCATTGGTTAAGACGTCAACCTACTGACCGGGAGTTACATGGTTCAAATCCGACCTCGTCATATCGGCTGCTCCTTTACAGGTCTTGGCAATATCTTAGCCCTGGTGCTTTCTTCGGGTGGCATGGGAACTAGGTCCCGAAAGGATGTGGTTGAGCGATTTTCTCCTAGTGTGCGTGTTAGAGGTAGGTCCTGATCGTGTACGTGGAATTTTTCACCACTAGTGCTGGCAGGCTTTATAACAAGAAAACCTCAATTCCTTTTTATCTGAATCCAGTGCGCTTATGCATTTTATTGAATTTCGGACGACCTCGTCTATCGGCTGCTCCTTTACAGGTCTTGGCAATATCTTAGCCCTGGTGCTTTCTTCGGGTGGCATGGGAACTAGGTCCCGAAAGGATGTGGTTGAGCGATTTTCTCCTAGTGTGCGTGTTAGAGGTAGGTCCTGATCGTGTACGTGGAATTTTTCACCACTAGTGCTGGCAGGCTTTATAACAAGAAAACCTCAATTCCTTTTTATCTGAATCCAGTGCGCTTATGCATTTTATTGAATTTCGGAATTCCAGCAGCTTGAAAGGTTCTTTGTGTAGTGTTTGTAACTGCTCTGACGCCAACCTTTGCTTTCATGACATTGTCATCTTCCGTGACGCTCGAATTAGTTATGCTGAATGTCAGCATAGACGCACCTCCAGATACAAGAGCCAGTATGAGGAGGTTTGTGAATTCTGAACCAGGATGTCGTCCCGTAAGTAAAGCCAACTTGTGCTGAACACCCGGAGGAATCAGCATTGTACTCAGGTTGGATTATTCCTCTTGTGAGCCACTTATACATTAATCGCAGTGTGAGGAAGTTTAAGCATTTTCTTTGTCTTGTCTTTGTGTCAGTTATTCTCCTTTGTTAGCTACTTGCAGCTTGCTAATAGTTTGGAGCTATCGGAGCAGTCACTCCGGTAGTCCTTCAATACGTCATGTGGATTCTGCGATTGAGTGATGAGTGAAACTATATTCTGTCTAGGTGCGAGTTAATCATACTGCTGCCCAGCTACTCTTAACCACACGGTTTAGTCTTCAACTCTTAGGCACAATGCTTCTACTTCATTAAGGATGAAACAGCCGCGGAATTCTCTACTTTTAAACAGTTTTGCCTCATTTACAGTTCGGGATTTTCACTCGGAGTAATTACTATTGCGGCTTTACTGTAAGCGGCTTTCTACAAACCAGCGCAAAATGATCTTGGTAAATCAGGAGTTGGTTTCTTTGTCAACCCTGACGGCTGGTTTGCAATCAGAGTGCATAATGACCTACCGGGACTACTTTTGGTATGGTTGCGTAGCTGCGCTCAGATGCATGGACTTTCTTATTCCGCAACCAATGTCCGATCGAACGCCCGATATCTTACGCACTGTCATCACGCGGTACGCTGCACTGATTCAAAACAGTCTTAGGTCACGCACTAATCCATTTGGCTGGTATTTGTCCCCACGCGTCGACGCTACGTGCTATCACCACTCTCGATTCCGAATGAAGCGCATTGTCTATCTTCGTTTCGACTTTACTCACTGGACATAGCCCTGTCGCTGGTACATTCACGGTTAACTGTGTCTTTAACGCCACTATTCATCTTGACGTTCCAGTCTTGCAGTCTCAGTGTGGTCAAATGTCTAATTGGAAATCCACCCTTCAAGTGCATGGAGCTTTTCTTTCCCTGGCACGGTTCAAATCATTTTTTTCTCTGGTGAGGGTTTCGCCTATAGGATGAAACGGAGTTGGCTGATTTGTGATCTACAGTGTGGAAACTACTGTTTACGCCTAATTCATTGTGATGTCACCTAACGCTAGCCCGTGCTTCTCCAGCTCGAATAGTTTTGTGGGATAAGGTCCGTTTCCGCCCGACCAGATAAAGTGTCAGCCAGTTTCCCGTAGTCCGTTCCACTATTTTCGCTGTAGGGTTTTGAGTAAGTTGTCATGGTTGCGTTCCGGTGGTGACACCCTCTGTCTTGATGCAGCCAACGCACAGGCAACTTGACTTTCTTTTTGCACTCGAGCAGCTCGTCATTTGTTGTCCTAGCAACAGAGGTTTATCCAGTTAAACCAGGTACTGTGAAGGTGAGGAAATCAGGGATGGCGAGAGCTGTCGTGCAGGTCATCATTGTGGGTGCAACAGCACGTTTGATGATACTCTTAAGGTTCTAACCCGGTCATCGAAATCATTATCCACTGTCTTATTTACTCCATCTCCCGGTCAACAAAGACAGCCATGATACACCTTCCAGAAACGCATTTTTTTTCATTTACATGTATACCTTAACGTTAGACCTTCATCACTGCTACTATTTCCACGTTCGTCGAAATCATGACGCGTATGTGAGATGGTGACTGCTTTAGTGCAAGTGAAGAAACTGAAGAAAAGAGAAAAGCTTTGTCTAGTCGCAGGGAGGCATGGACAGGTGACCTCAAAGCTCTACATGCAAAACGTCCTAATAATATCTATGAGTCCCAAGACCTTTTTATCTTCGTCCACATTTAAGCCATGCACCAGGTCAAGGCTCTATGTCGTCCATAGCCTCATCAGGATGAGCGGCATTATGTTAAACAGCCAAGGCTCCGGTTAGAAGTGTGCCGACGTTTAGGAAAGAGACGGTAGGCCTGGGACGTGGTCCAGTTGTGACTGATTAGGCACCCGCACGTGTATGAGGCAAAAGTATAGGTGAACTGCGAACACCCGCTAGCAGCGCATGTGGCAGTGCTCAAGCGATTATGCAATGTGAAAACTACGTCGAAGGTATTTCTACCGTTTCTTGAAGACATCAGGCTGTTTCCCGAATAACAGCCGTGTTCCAGTCCGCTCTTGTATCATAACTGGACTTGTTTCAAAGAGAGCATTCAAATAGCTAAAGCAGTCCTTTACTGTACTTGATGCGTGGGCTTCCCTGACGTTCTTATCTAATATGACTCGCAACGAAAACATGACCGGCACACTTATCGCGTGATACCATACACACAACCTCGAAAATTTAAAGGAGGATTGGCGTGACGAAAACTTTTATCTAAACTGTAGGCTAAGGTTTGGTTATACCGCTGCTATGTTTTTCGATCAGCTCGGCTGCTATTCGATTAGAAATGACCTTTTCGATAAACGGGTTACATCCGCTTAACTTGAAACCGAATGTAAGTCGGATGCCACTTTGTCGTGCCTGCCACCTATGGCCTTGTATTCATTTACCGTAAAGTTGGTTGCAATACACCCCTTGTTTCCTGCGGGTTACGAGACTCCACAAACACGGAATACACAGCCATATTACTAGTGGTTCTCACCACGCCTCTTCCCGGCGCGTGATACAAAAGGTCAACATACCCATTTTAATGTGTCTATTGTCCAAAGTTGTCAAGAGTCATTGAATTCTTCATGGTGAAAATTTTCCAGTTATGAAACCATTATCACCGCAGCACCTGGGTTGTGGAAAGGTTCATCTTCTACCCCATGTTTGAAACTCGAGGCTATTTGTTGTTTCAGGACGATCTTACTTGATATTTCCTAACACGTGTCAATGACAGTTGTCGTTCGTCCCCGATTCATTCGACTAGTGTGTCCTATTACCAACCCGACTCAGAGAACTGCACACCTAAATAATTTAGCGGCAGAAAAAATACGGACGACTTTTTATACCCTTCATCTACATCTCACTAGAGGTGACACCGATTGTGGTATCAGGGAACCGCATACTACCTGGTCAACAGTTCGACCAGACCACACACGTCAACAGCTGGATGGTACACTTTAAAGTTGGCAGAGTTTTGAGGGTATCTATGCTGATGGGGCTTAGCCGGGGAACTTCAGTTGTGAACTTGCTCAGTGGACTGGCCGTACGTCTACGGGTCGTGAAACATTGACAGGCCAAGCAATTATGCCCTCATTTACGAGCGTCGCTTCTATGTTCGACTGAGACTCTGCACACTACGACAAGAAATGACTGCAGTGTGAGACAGTCGTGCTACCAAGTGCGAGTGAACGTGGCAATACCAGCGAAGTGGGTCCGTTCCTAGCTATTTGTGAACTACTGTGGACCCAAGCGGATCAGTAGGCTCCTCGTAACGAATCTGTCTATTTCATTGAGTTTATCCGCTTTTTATTCGACTGTTCCAATATTTTAAGACGAATCTGATCTACGCGTCGACCATTCAACAAAGAGCCAAGGTAACTAGACCATGTTTACTCTCAGATTCCGGGACACTGTTGTAAGATCCGGGCATCTACGGACCTCATAGGACGATCGTGACTGCCGAGCTACATGTAGTTCGTTTTCAGTGGGCGGTATGAACGGAAGGACAAGGGCAATAAATGATTCATTGAGAACTGTCGAGTACTGGTTCTATAGACAAACGGGTTAATAAACATCGCGAAAGAAAAGGGAAACACAGTCAATAGTAGCACAATCGGTAGAAGCAGAGAAATGGTGAGCGGGGCAGCACAGCTTTCAGGAAGCAATAGCAAAGAAGTAACAAATGATCTGCAAACCTACAGATACGGGGTGTAAGGAACTGTCTGGCTGACGGCGCGATACAGAGGAGGTCGATTCATGCACAAGTTGAACTATAGCAGATAATTGGCTGGTCCGAGTCAGTGGTCCATACTATAACATACGACTACTCCATACGAGGCCTAGCTGCTTAGCAGAGGCTTACACCAACAGCCTCCCGTGGATCGATGGCCAAGTGAGATAAGCTAGTCCACGGTTAAAATCCGGACGACGTCGTCCAACCTCATTTCGACTTTCG